AGGGGCAGGGATAGGGGCAGGGGCAGGGGCAGGGGTAGGGGCAGGGGCAGGGATAGGGGCAGGGATAGGGGTAGGGGCAGGGGCAGGGGTAGGGGCAGGGGCAGGGATAGGGGGAGGGACAGGGATAGGGGTAGGGGCAGGGGTAGGGGCAGGGGTAGGGGCAGGGGTAGGGGCAGGGGCAGGGATAGGGGCAGGGGCAGGGATAGGGGCAGGGACAGGGGCAGGGGCAGGGGTAGGGGCAGGGGTAGGGGCAGGTCATTCAGTGCTCATTCTGGAGGAAGCTTGGATGAAAAACAAATGGTTGCTCAGAAAGCAGAGTTAATATACAAGAATTCCTAACATCAGTAACTCAAGCACCCTGTGTCCATGGAGAGAGCAGAGCCTTTCTTATAGCCACCCCTGAGATACTCAAAGGCCACTCTCGGTTCTCTCCTGGAACTTTCACTCCTCAGCCAGTTCTCAGAGGGGAGGTGTTCCATCCTTGGATTGTTTCTGCAGTCCTCCTCTGGACATACTCCGAGAGGTCCATGTCCCTCCCGGGCAGAAGACTTCACATCTGCATGCAGTACTCCAAGTGAGGCCTCACCAGCACAGAGCAGAGGGGCAGGATCACCTCTCTCACCATGCTTGCCACACTCCTTTTGATGCAGCCCAGGATACAGTTGGCTTTCTGGGCTGCAAGGACATGTTGCTGGCACACATCTTGTCACACATGTTGTTCCCTTTGGGGAGAGTGGAGGGAACCCAGGAGGCCCAGAGCAGACTCTAAAATACCAGAAACAGAAAGGCACTTACTGGTTTTGCTTTAGGAAAGAACTTTAGGTTTTTATTATTATCACTATTCTGCGTTGTTCTTTTCAATAGTTTGTTGTCCAGTTTTTCGCACAAAAGTCCTCAGGGAGCACCTGGAAGGAGCTTCGTGCTGAATGCCCTCCCTTCTTCCCTTCTTCCCACCCAAACCAAAGTCTTCCACTTCTCCAATGGAAAGCTATCTTGTCTGGTGCTGCCTGGAAGTCGCAGGGAGCTTGGGGCTGTCCGCTGCATTCCTCCTGGTCCCAACGCAGCCGCTGAGAGGACACCAGTCCCAGTCCTGCTCTCTTCCTCAGGACTTGCCTGGAGGCCACAGGGAGCTCGGGGCCGTCCGCTGGATTCCTCCCATTGTCCCGGTGCAGAAGCATGGAGGACAGCAGTCCCAGTGGCTCCTTTTGCCTCAGGGCTCAGGAAGGAAGAGGTGAGAGGTCTTGGGAAAGGATGAGGATGAGGGACAGGGAAGAAGGGGTGACAGAGAGCAGCAGCTGGCCCAGGGGCTCTGGCGGATGGTGACTCTTCAACGCCGAGATGGAAACTGAGAGCCCCTGCTGCACTGCCAATGGATGTAGCGACATCTCCAGGCACACATGAAGTTCTATTGCTTGCCCGGGCCTGATGAAGGTGGATCCACCTCCATAGGCTCAACATCGCTCTCCAGAGGATCTACATCCATTGGCTCTGGCTCGCTGCTGCTCTCAAGAAGTCGAGGCTTCTTTGTTGGAGGAGGATATATCTTCCTCCACAAGTGCTCCCACAATGGGAGAGAAGGCTCCCTCTGTAGCTCCTGCTCACAGATAGGTGCTTCCACGACAGGAGTTGGTCAGCAACTGGGGTACTGGGGTCCCCATATCTATAGCAGTCAGCAGGGAGGTGGCTTGTGATATCGCATGGCCACAGTGTTGTGACCATAAGAGTGTCTTGTGACAAGCAAAACATGGCTGTGTTGAGCGAAGGCAGGCTATGGCCTGAGGGTTGCCCTACTTGCCCCCACTGAGGGTTGCCCTACTTGCCCCCAGTGAGGTTCTACAGGGCTCCATTTTAGGCCCATTCTCTTCTGTATTTTCACTGTTGATTCCAATAAAGATCTGGAAGTTGTTTGAAGTAAATTTGTGGATGATGCTAAAGTGGGAGGAGCGTTGACTCTCTTGAGGGTAGAAAGACCTTGCAGCAAGATCGGGACAAATTCGAGGGTGGGCACCATCTGTGTGAAGAAGAGCAAGTGCTGGGCTGCGCAGCTGGGATGGGGCAGCCCTGCCTCTGTGTACAGTGTGGGGGCGAGGGGTTGGAGAACAGCCCTGCAGAAAGGGATCAGGGCGTTCTGGTTCGAGCGCAAGTAGTGCCTTCCCTGCCTTTCGCCTCTTGTTATTCAGTTTACCGCGTACGTAGCGAACATAGGCGGCCCTACCACCCCGCAGTGCCAGATGGCGCTCTTCTGTTGCCGTCGCCGCTCTGCCCTCTGCTCTCTCCCCACTTCCGCCAGGCCCCGGAAGCGGCAGATGCACGGCGCGATGGCGTCGGAGGGAATGGCGCCGGCTGAGCTGCAAGCGGAGGGTGGTACTGACGTGGAGCCGGAAAGCGGCTTTGGGCAGCTGCTGGAAGAAGAAGAGGAGGATGGAGGTTACGTGCTGTACAGGTACGGCCGCGGCAGCGCAGCATCCGAGCGGTTGGGCCATGTCTTCCCCGGTACGGGCGTGAGGAGGCGCGGGGATGGGAGGAGGAGGACGAGGAGGAGGAGGAAGGAGTCATCTGTACACAGATCCGTGTGTTTCACAGTCAGGGTAGCACTTTAAAAGCATTGAAAGTTTGAAAATATGTACATGTGTGCTTACAGGGACAGGAAAGAGTGGGCAGACATTGAACCCGTTCCTCAAAATGACGGTCCGAATCCCGTGGTTCAGATCATCTATAGTGAAAAATGTAAGTTTTAAACCCTTTCTTCGGGGAAGATTTTAATTGATTGCGTTTATGTCTTCCTTTAGTACTGTTAAAGCGAGTCTTCATGCTTCAGGTAGTGTATTTACTAGTGTACTTGTCCTGGTAGAGAGAAAATAATACGTATTTTTTGTGTTACAGTAGCTGCATGTGATGTTTTCACGCATGTTTCTGATGTTGAATATTTACATCAGATGTTAGTAACCCAGGTTTGATTTTAAATTCATACATGTAAAGGAGAATTGCAGATAGCAAAGTTGTCATAGTGAGGCACCTCTAGTTTAAGAGGCATATATGAAACTATCACATCTGAGAAAGCAGTATGACTAAGTATCAAGATACTTTCCTGGTTCTTTTAGGAATTATTGAGATGGTGTATTAAGACATTTATGTGGCTTTTCAGTGTAATAATGTCATTAGCCATGTTAAACAGTACTGGCAGAGCCATTTGTAGCTTTGGTATTATGGAGGTGTATTTCAAGTACACAAAACAGGAAGTGACTTGAGAGGGTTATTAACCTTACCCCTTAATCAGCCAGTTTCTCATAGCCTTGGATAAGATACTATTATCTTTTTAGTTCGAGATGTCTATGATTACTTCCGGGCCGTCCTACAGAAGGATGAGAGAAGTGAAAGAGCTTTTAAGCTAACAGCAGATGCCATTGAATTAAATGCTGCAAACTATACAGTTTGGTAAGTGATTACCTAGATTTTTTTTATCCAAGATTATTTTTGTTGTCAGTTAATTACCAGTGCCTTCTGACTCTCAACAGTTTTGTTAGTATAATCAGGGCATGACTAGTTGAGTTTGCACAGGGGAATACGGTAGATTCTTACTGAGCTTCTAAGGTAGCCCATGCTCACTATATTCCTTGTCTGGTTTTGATCTTGTTGTTTTCATTGAGTTTGTTTTGAGGATGTTATCCAACAAAATCAAAACTAGCTCCAAAAAGAACTTTATCTTGTAAGTTATCACATTTTAAGCTGTGGTATTTCCTTGGCAAAATGGGGAAGCTGTCTTCAGGTGACTTCAAGAAGACTTGTAAAAACACAGTAGTTACTATCTGACTGCTAGGTAGTAGCATACTTAGAAATACTGTGTTTTGAAAGATCCGTCCCGTTTCTGAGTAGATAATGAATAAGCAGTGAATTTCTGATATTCAGAGGAAGGCTTTTTAAATCATGAATGCCAGCAAATACTGTTGTTATGGTTTTGTTCCACTAACTCACATAAAAATGGAGAGCTTACGTTATTTTAAGCAGACAACCATGTAGTTTCTGCAGTGTTGAAACTACTGTGGGTAGACAGAGATTGACTTGAGACTTGTCACCACTGTGATTTTAGATAACATGTCATAACCAGTCACATACCAGCTGTGCAGCATTCACTGCCTGAGTGGCCTTTAACAGAACTGGATATGCTGTTTAGTTCCTGGCATTCTTTTTAATTCTGTAGCTATTAGAACAGCTGCAAAGAAAGGCTCCTTTATGAATCATAGCAATGTCTGCTGCAATGTTTGAATGCTTGACTTTTGTACAGGCATTTCCGGAGGGTCCTCCTGCAGTCTCTGGGAAAGGATCTCTATGAGGAGCTTAAATATATTACAGCAATAATTGAAGATCAACCAAAGAACTACCAAGTCTGGTAAAACTACATTTTCTTTTCAGATTGTAGAGCTTCTGAAGTAGTTTGGGGTGTTTCAGTTGTCTAGGAGAGGTTAGGTTCATTGATCCTAAAATTTGTTAAGCCGATTCCTGCATGTACTGCAGTGATGGCAGCAGAGAAGTTAGATTGAGTTGTATCACTATCATTGCCAATATGCTCTGTAGCAATTTGTTGTGAATGTGATGGTGATAAAAGATCTCGTTTTCATTTCAGTTTTTAAACTGTCAAAATAAATGACGGAACAACAACAACTGATGAAAAGACAAAGAAAAGGATGAATGAAAAGTACTTTTTATACTGGATCTTTGAATTTATCACAAAATGAATGGGAATTGAGCAAACAGCAGTTACAAACTCACAGAATGTTTGAGATGACTCCCAGTTCCATCTGCTCCAAGCCCTGTTCAGGCAGGGATACCGAGAGCAGGCTGCCCTGTGTCCCAGCAACTTTGGAATATCTGCAAGGAGGGGGAGAATCTACAACCTCTCTGGGCAAGTTTACCAGTAATCAGTCACCTGCATAACTCTGAAATGCTTCCTGGTGTTCCTCTTTGTGCCCACTGCCTCTTGCCCTGGCACTGGTCCCCTCTGAAAAGACCATGTCTCTGCCTCCTTTGCATAGTCCCTTCAGATATTTATAGGCATTGCTGAGATTCACATCTAGTCTTTTGTTCTGCAGGCTAGAGAGTCCTGTGTCTCAGCCTTTCCTCCTAGAGAAGTGTTCCAGTCCCACGATTGTCTTTGTGTAGAAATGATTTTCTTGTTCTCCTTGTGTTGGGAAATGGTTTCCAGATTAGATCCTGCATCACCTTTCTAGGCACCAAGCTGAGGCTGAACAATCTGTAGTTCCCCAGGTCCTCCTTCCTCAAGATGGCAATGACATTTGCTTTCCTCTAATCCTTGGACACCTCTTCCAGGTGCTGCAATGAGCAAATGTTATCTAGCATGGCCTTGCAGTCACACCCTGCAGCTCCCTGAGCACTTGTAAGTACATCCCATCAGAGCCCACGGTCCGGTTTGCTCAAGTGTTCCCTAACCTGATCCTCTTCCTCGCTGCGGCCCTTCAGACTGGCCTCTGGGACTGAGGGTTCCTGAGGATCAGTCTTGCTGGTAAAGACTGAGGCAAAGAAGGCAGATGAAGTCCCTCAGCCTTTTCATTTCTCCATATAACCAGGTCTCGCATTTCTTTCAGCAGAGGGCCTGCATTTTCTTTAGTCTTCTTTCTGGCGCTGATGTACTTGCAGAGGCAGTTGTTGCCCCTGACAGCTCTGGCTAGTTTCAGTCTTGCTTCCACCCTTCAAATGCAAGGTTTCATTCTTGCATTTGAATTTGGCCTGGAGTTCCTTGCTGATCTATGCAGGCTTCTTGGGCTTTTTGCCCTACTTCTTTGTTGGCTGAGCCTGGAGGAGGTGACCCTTGAATATCCTAGGATCTTCAACTCCACTGTTATGTGATCCCTGCAGCCAAGGCTGCCTTTGAACTTCATGTTCCCAGCAAGCCCGTCTTTGGTGGTGAGAATGAGATACAGCACAGCTCCTCCCCTCGCTGGTCCCATTGTGTCTTGGAGGAAGAAGTTATAATTAGTGCTTTCTAGGAACCGCCTTGACTTCTTCACTGCATTGTTGTCCTTCCAAAAAATACTGGGCTGACTGTACTCTCCCAGTGAGATCAAAAGCTTGTGAACACGAGGTTTCTCCAATCGGTCTGTGCAGGCCTTGTTTGCTTCTTCTTCCTGGTCCAGAGGTCTGTAGCAGACCCCTGTGTCACCTTTGTCTCATAGTCCTGTCCTCACTTTCATCCCAATCCGTGAATTCTGAGTTGGCTCAGAACGTCACCTGTCCTCAGGCAGAGCTCCATGCACTTCTGTGGTCATTGGCACAGAGAGTGCTCACTGCTCCTCATCTTCTCAGCCTGTCTTTCCTGCAGAGCCTATATCCTTGCATTACAACACTGCAGTCACGGGAGCCATGGCACCACGTTGTTATTAGTAGAGAAATGCATGTGGGACAAGAAAAGAACTATTTGTTTATTTAGCTGAAGCCTTTGACATTTGTGTTGAAGTGGAGATGTTACTCAGTTAAACGCAGCTTGACTGAAATAAGGTGATTGACCAATTCCTACTTACAGGATGTGTCATAGAAAGTTTGTTACTGTGTAAGTTTGCAGCATGTATTTCTCAGAGACAAGTGACGCTTGTTTACCTGTCTCTTTTACGTAGCACTTCTTTTTGTACAGATACTTTGTAGTAGTAGCAGATGTTAAATGCTGCTTTAATACGCAGCCGCACAAGTTCTTGCCTGCCCTTCAAACAACTTTCTCTTCTCGTCATCAGGCATCACAGACGAGTGTTGGTGGAGTGGCTGCAGGATCCATCCCAAGAGCTTGAGTTCATAGCTGACATTCTTAACCAGGATGCCAAAAATTACCATGCTTGGCAACACAGACAGTGGGTTATTCAGGTATAGTGCACCTAGAACTAATATGCTTTTACATAACCTATACTCAGGTTGTAGAGTTTGACATCTTAAATGCATCCTGTACGGCACTTGGCATATTGTTTCTTAAAGCTGCGGGGAAAGAGAAAATAGTTGCATTGTACTGAATGAAAGAATTTAGATACAAACTACCCTTTTAAAAAGCAAGCTGAAGGAGACCTGCTGTTTGCTTCCTTTTCTGTGTGTGAATTTAATGGTTAACTCATGCCCTTGAGTGTAACTGTATAACATAGCATGTTCGCAGTACACCCTTCCTTGTTTTCTTTTGAAATTTGTGTTGATGTTTTTTGTAAATGTCTCTGTATTTAACAGAGCATTTATGTTTAAGAAGAATGTGTTCTAAAAACAAAAGGTTCTGATTGATTTTCTCCCTCCTTCTGTTTCTTTAGGAGTTCAAGTTATGGGGCAATGAACTGGAATATGTAGATCAGCTTCTAAGGGAAGATGTGAGAAACAACTCTGTCTGGAACCAAAGATATTTTGTAATTTTCAACACCACCGGCTATGATGATCCAGCAGTTCTGGACAGAGAAGTCCAGTTAGTAAAACTGTTCATTCCCATATTTAAGCCATCTCAATTATATGCAAGCAGAGAAGTACTATGACAGGCCTCAACCACTGTGGGCTTTGTAGTTCTATTCAGAATGCATCTAGATGTCTGCAATACCAGTGACTTGTTAAGCAGTACTAAAGCAGCCTGGACAAGACAAGACTCCAAGGAGACCTCGCTGCGGCCTTCTAGTATCTGAGAGGTGTTTCTCAACAGAATGGGGATCAACTTTTTATGTGGTCTGATAGTGATAGGATGAAGGGAAACAGTTCTAAACTCAAAAGGAGAAGATTCAGGTTAGATGTGAGGCAGAAATTTTTCAGAGGGCAGTGAGGCCCTGGCACAGGCTGCCCATAGAAGGATGTCCCATTCCCGAAGGAGTTCAAGACCAGGTTGGGTTGGGCTCTGTGCAGCCTGATCTGCTGGGTGGCAGCCCTGCCCACAGCAAGAGGGTTGGATATTGGTTATCTTTAAGGTCCCTCTTACTCCAAAGCATTCCATGTCACTGTGTAAAATTCTTATCCTCTCAAGAAGCTGTTCTGATGGAGTTCTCTTCTTACCTTGCTCCTTTTGTGGAGGCAAATTGTTGGGCTTTTTTATAACTAGCTAGCTAGAGTGGATCAGCCTGCAGAAAATCGGTGAGATTGGCACTGCTTGTGCTGTGCATTGGATCCCAGGCAGGACACTGAACTAGGAAGCTTGGCAGGAGAGGCACTCTTTGGTATTGTACTGAACTGTTGTTTCAGTAGTCTCTGTGATTTAAAGATAACTTAGACATGAACTCCAGGGAGAAAAATTGCCTTTTATGAGGAATTTAATACTGCTAGCAACAGGAAAAAAAAATTCAGGGTTACATGGTCAGTACATTTATAAGTGAAAAAGAGAGAGTTCCTAGGCATTTCTATTGCATGTGGTGGTAGGGGAAGCCTCCTTGTATGTTTCTCACATCTCAGGCTTCTAATCAGGGTTGATGGTTATGAGAACACCTGGTCTAAACTGAAGAAGCAATGAAAAACGTCCTGAAGTTTTTGGGATTTATTCTTTAGAGGAAAGACTGAGGCTTTGAATAGGCCTGGTGGTATACTCTTCATAGTTGATCCCATCCACCAAACTTTTGTGGATGTCTTAGCATACTGATGCAAGTTGAATTTCATATCCAGTTTGTAGTGTTCTTGTATATTAATGGAGTAATTTCCATAATTGAGGATTGGATGCTTCCAGCTTTTTCTGTATACAAGTTAGATCTGCTTCCTTCGGTCTGTGTATTAATGAATATAGAACATGGTACAATAAGCTGGTGCTGTATTCAAGATAATCATAGTGGAGATCATCTGAAGAACCAGCCTGTCAATTAAAGACTTCACAGGTGTTGTTCTAGAACAGTGGTTGGGATACTTGATGTGTTGAGATGCTCTCAGTCCTTGTGATGCTGACTGCCGAAGGGTGAGAAAGGCTCTGGTATACCTTTTTGGTAGTGCTGCTTATAGAAGTGTTTATCAGTATCTGCTGTCTCTGCAAATTAGCTGAATACTTAGAGATGCTTTGGGAAGGGCAGTAGGTCAAAGCTATGTTGTGAAGATGCAACCTGACTTTGTAACTGTGTGGCAGCTGCTTGTTCTTTCTTTGCTTTAGTGGAGTTACCTAACAGCTTCTTCAACAGAACTGCAGCAGAAGGCCGTGAGCTGAGATTTAGGCTGTGCCTTTCTGCGGGGTATGCTTAGAGGTAGCCTTATAACAGATGTTCAAGAAATACCACGTCCAGTGATAATAATAATACAGCTCTTCTGGGTTTCTATTACTCCAGTCCTTGTCAGGGTAGTTCAGACTATCTTAAAGTTCAGACTTGCTGAGCATTTCTTGTACCACAATGGGTTAGGTAGTACTGTTTCGTAGGGTTAACACTCAAAATTGTGAGAGCTATTTCAGCGTTGTGTGAATCTCACCTAATGGATACACTTCTGAATTTAAAACAGTTCTTATAATATCTGCCTACTTGAGATCTGTGGTGATTATATTGCCAGACATTTCTGATCAGGGAACCAGCTGTGGTAACCTACAACAAGATTCTGAAATACAGACTAAAGGGATATACCTAGGAGTATCTGAATATATTCAAGGAATTTCTAACAGAGTTGTTAGTGCTTACCTTCATGAGCTGTTATCTTTCTCTCACAGATACACTCTTGAAATGATTACAGCTGTACCACATAATGAGAGTGCTTGGAACTATTTAAAAGGGTGAGTTATCTGTTGGGGGGCAAGCATGCTTTCAATCTAATTTCTGTTTGGTTGAGCATAATTTTACTTGTGTGCTACAACATGAAGCTATGCTATTGCTGCATCATAATTATACTTCCTCCTTACTGCCTTGCTTGTGTTTGCATCTGTACTGATCATCAAATAAAGGAGTAATAACCAAACCAATTCTCATCAAATTTCCCAGTGTTACATTTTAAGACTATTTACTTATATTTCAGGATTCTGCAGGATCGTGGTCTTTCTAAGTATCCACATCTGCTGGAGCAACTGTTGAGTTTACAGCCCAGCCACAGTTCACCTTATCTGATTGCCTTTCTTGTGGACATATATGAAGATATGCTTGAAAACCAGTGTGAAAACAAGGACGAAACATTAAATAAGGCATTGGAGGTACTTAGGATTTGGTTTTGCTTTCAGGGACGCCATCTATTGTTCTCATGTTTTATATTCAGACCAAATGGGATTGGATTTTGTAAATGGAACAGGTCACTTGTTAAGCATGGCATCTCTATGAGGAAGTGGACATCAAAGCCAAGTAATCATAAATGTCTTGTTTAATTACCTGTAAATAGTAACTTGTCAGTTACCAAATCACTGTAATTTTTCTTCACCAGATAATAAAGGAAGATTTCTATTATTACCTTCAGAATAAGTTTGAATAAGCAAAGCTTCCAATGCTAAACATATTTTTCTTCGTAAGTTAGGGAACCTTGTTCTCAGAATACTTATATCTTATTGGATACTCAAGCTCCTTTTGTACCTAGTTATTTCTTAAAAAGCTTATGGAATTAGTTTAAAGGCCAACGGACACTGGGAGCACCACTAAGGAGAGTTGGGCATCACTTCCTGCTGAGAATAAGTGACTCCTAGCAGTGTTTTTTATCTCCATGTTCTTTGTTTTTTGGGATATCCTTGCAGTGGTTTGCAGTGCAATCTTTGTAAGAACAGTTTTTTTCACTCTATGAGGTGTGCAGTAACTCACTGTGATTAGAACTGTAGCTACAGTTCTTGCCTGTAGTCTCTGTGTTCCAACATTGTTCTTTCTCAGTGAAAGAGAACAAGAGAACAATAAATCCTTTTGCTGTATTCCAGGATCAGTCTAAATAAGGGTAGTTGTACCTCCCATTTAATAACATTTCACTGAGTTTGGGTTTTGCATATATTCAGGCTTTGGAGCTGCTATTTCTGCATCCTGATTCACTAAGTGACAACATCATTTGTATAATGAGGGAATTGGCAAGGACATCTGTGGGCTGTGCTCCTACTATATAGATTTTATATGTCATGTCCTTTGAGCAGGGTTGATTTATGCTCCAATGCCCATTCAGATGAAAATAAAAATCAGAATGTGAACCAGTATAGGATCACCTCTAACAAGTTGTGTGAGAGGGATACTGACTTACTGTGAGAATCTTTAGAAGACAGTCTGCTGAGTTAATAACTATAAACAAAAAATCTCCTGTCAGTTCATTAGGAGATATCTCATGTTCCTCTGCTGCTTTTAATCAGGGGTTACAACCTACTGTTCCACCAAGAGACAACCAAGTTTGTCAGAGAATTAAAAATTCCTTGAATTATGCTGTAGGCTGGATAGTCTGGAGCAGATACAAGCAGTAGCTGTGAAAAGGAATCTCAGAGGAAGCAGCTGTAGCTAAAATAAGACTGGAGACTTTGGGGCACTGTCAAGCTGGTTGCCTGCCACTTGGATTTGGCATCCATCTGCAGTCATTGGACACTTGCTACAAATATGTTAAAAACCAAAACCAAACAAAAAAAACTGTGTTGCCAAAAAGTATTTATAAGACTGGCTGACCTGGACTGCCATTGCATTGTATAAAGATAATTAGAGATTGCTTCAGTTTTTAGTGTAACCCCACAATGTCTCGATTTTCTTTCTTAGCTATGTGAAATCCTGGCCAAAGAAAAAGACACTATCCGAAAAGAATACTGGAGATACATTGGGAGGTCCCTTAAGAACAAGCATAGCTCCAGCACTGAGCAGAGCACGATGACGGACAAGCAGCAATAACTGAACTTGGAAGAAATAATGTTAAGCTCTCAGGCTGTGTAGAAAAATACTCAGTAGGGGACATCAACTGTTGTAAAATGCATCATAGCATTCTCCTGGTGAAAGAGGTATTGCTGCAATAAAAGAGGACTGCATAGTGCTGCATAGTTTCTTGAGTTGCCTCTACTACTGGCGATATCTCTAGATGTGGCAAAAAATGAATTAGAGCTTAATAATTTAAATGTACCAACTAGAGGTAACAACAAATACATAAAGCTATACTTGCTATTTATAAAGCACTAAACCAATTTTTCACACCTACTTTTATCTACTTGTTGTTTCTAACAGTCATGTCAGATGCTGCAGTAATGACTGCAATTAATTCTACGCATAGGGGATATAAAGTAACCTACTTCAGATTAGTGTACAAGTAGGTGCTGAAGCTGTTTCTTTACGTGAGAGCAGCTATGCAACACTGGCAGTATGTACTGTTGTATGCAATTAATGCCAACTGTCATTTTGTAATAAAAACAGTTAAAGCATTTATCTGAAATTCTTAGTGATTTCTTTTTTCATCTTTGAATGTTCATGGTGTGTTCTTCTTAGATGCCAGTTGAGATTAAAAATAGAATGTCTGCTTTATGTACATGGAAATCTATGGGTTTTTGTTGATGGGTTTTTTTTCTTTTTTGGGGGGTGAGGGGGGTTGTTTTCTTTGTTTTGTTTTTTGGCTCTGGTGTATTTTTATCACAATAATTTTCAGTGCACTGAATGTTTTCAAGGTAGGTAGGTTGAATTCCTGTCTGCACAATCAAGAAGAATGCTTTGAAGATCCTATAAAATTTGCTTAGTTTTTTATTGGAATTCTGTTCAGACCACTGAAAATGTGAAGTTTTGTTTTTTGTTTTCCGCATTTATGACCTCAGATTTCTCTGATTACAGATCAGAAATAATCATAATTAACTGGTTATGCTAAATATCGTCACTGAGCTGGAAGAGGAAAAAACTTATATTGGGGACCTATCTGCATTACATTCCTCAATCTTCTTGTTCCTTTTTTGTGTCTTTTCCATGCATTTATTCAGCCAATAAGTGATTTTCCTCACACTTAGGAAATATGTTACCTGCAATACAGAACTGTGAGGGATGTGAATACCTGTACAAGAAGCCTGCTGTACCTATCCTATTTTCAGTAAATAGCTGTTGTAAACTTAGCAAAGAGTGCTTGTCTGATCTGAAATATTTTCATGCAAACAATTGTAGAGGGAAGAAATAAATAATAATATTTATTCCATAATATGAGCAGTCTTCCTGATTCTAAATGTTAAAAGCTGTTGCTATAATTAAATGTTAGTGAGTGGAGATTATTTCAGAAGTTTGAAATATATTAATCCTATGTATTCTTCAGATTTAAAGCAATTCTCAGGGAAGAGAAGTAATTATGTGTAATGTAATCAATGTTTATAAACTTCGAATGTTTTTGCCACTTTCCCAAAGTAGGCATTTTTTTAGAGTTTAGAATGTTAGATGTTTAGAATGGACATAAGCTTCAAACTTTTGGAAACTTGTTATCTGCTATACCTATCTACCTATATCTATATATATTTTCTAACCACAGTTGAATTTCTAGCATAGAACAAAGCATATATATTTCTACCCAGGTAATTTGTTCCAAACTGAAACTACAGTAGGTCTGTATTACTACACTGGCAGGAGCATTTTCAAGGTCTTCAGGGCAAAGTAAGGTATTTGCCATTACCAGTCAAGAAAGCTCATGAAGACACAGAATAAACGTCATCAATTGCGAGGACACAGAGCAGTGGCTTTGCCTCTGCATATGATGCTACTGCATTCCCTATCTTTTATAATGGTTTGATTGGAGTAAGCCAGATGGTTCTTTGCAAACACAAGCATCCGTTTCAATGAAAATAATTCTTCTAAGCAAGATGAAGAACTGTGCCTGCTGTGATCTCCGTAGTCTGTTACATCTCTTATGTGCCTCTGTGTCAAGTACGGGGGGATCCTCTGACCACTCTCTTGGGCTTTTATGGTTTCATAACTTTGGGCCTTCTCACACTGGAAAATATGTCCAGAAGTATTCAGTAAGGAGTCAGTATCTGCTGACAAGTTTAATGCCAGTTACACAAGTGTAACAATACTTGGAAAGAAAATACCTCTTCTCCAAGAGCTGACTTTATCAGAGGAAAAATCAACAGATAGGCACTCCAGAAATGTATCCCAACAGCAAAATGAAACATGAGACCCATCTGCTGAGTCCTGATGGAGACTAGAGTTCAGTTAAAAAAATAATAGAATATAAAGTTATTACATTTAACAAATTTTTATTTTTCCTTTCAAATCTTTATGTTTACTCTTATACTCTTACTGGATTGCCAGGCTGCTCCAAAACTCTTCTCAAGAGTTGCTTTGGTTCTGTGGTAGCCATCCACGCTCCATAATGCTGAGCTTTCAAAGCTGTGAAAATGACATGCTGCCCAACCAATTTGCAATTGCAGGTACCAAGCCTTTAGATTTAAGAATGCCCAGGTCAGAATTTTTCTCGTTAAAATGGAAGTTTGACAAAATATATGAGTTAAAAAAAGTAGGGCCTTGCAGTGGGAAATGTTAGGTGGCTAATCTGCAGGCACTGCTACTGACTGCCATGATCAGGGGATGCATGGAACTGCTGTGTTCTAAGGGCTCATCAGTAAAACTTAGTGTCATTGATTGTATATAGTGGTATGACTCTTGTGTAAAATTCTACTCCTGCACAGTAGCAGTCTGAATGAAATATTGTATTGATACCACTGTTGCTTGTAAATCCATGTAACTGGAACCTCAGGTGGAATTGTGTGCAAATCAAAACAGGCAGTGACACTGCAGCTGCAGTTTTCCTGCCTCATGCACGTGAATGGAAAGACAATATCATCACCTTGCGCCACGTCTAAGATGTTCTCACAGATACGGCATGGTGAGTGCAATACGATGAAAAATGTTCCTCAGCTGAGCCCATGTCCTTTTCCAATATTGGTGCCTTCTGCAAATGTTGGTGTTGTGGGATAGGACTTTGCAGCTTGCATCATAAGAGTCTGGTTTAGTTTGTGGTTATTCTGTGGGTCTTGGGGTGGCAGCAACTTTCGCTAGTATATCTTCTGCTCATCATAATGGGTTTGTAAAAGTTGGCAGGAGAATATTTGGCTGAGTTTTGACAATCCTTTTTATGTGGCAGTACAGCTTTTCACTTTCAGCCCAAGGGTGCCATGTATCCTACAGTACTTAGTCTTTCTTGTAAGTGATCATCTCTATTAAATATTTTCAAGGCGAAAATATTTTATCTCCCTGTAGAGCTGTACTGGCAGACTTTTGGTACAATACAGCAAAGGGGACAAAAAGTACCAAATAGCATTTGAAGGTGACATCAGTATTACTTTTGTCTTTGTAACAGGTTCTTTTCAGAACCCTGACAGTCTTGGGCTGCTCTGTATAATTTTGTTCATTAATAACATTGCTATTTCAAAGTACTCTGTGTACATTTTGATGAATACACACTGCATAGGAGTCAACTCAAGGCAGCTGAACAGGGAATAAAAGCTATGAAGAAGGGAGTAGAAATCTATCAAGTAGACAACCATCTGTTTGTCTCCACAACAGCTTATCTAATGCTGGAATGTTGAAATAGGGATGGTCTGTTCCTGGCAGAAATTATAGTTTAAAACTGACCTGGCCATATTCTCTATTCATCTCTTCTCTGTTCTCAGTATCCTTTTATCTTAATGCATCAGTTGACTTAAGAATATGCACTCTTCAGATACAAGACAAAACAAGGATCTTATTTTTGGAGCAGAAATGATGCTGTTGGGAGAGGAACAACTCTGCATGTTCTGTGCCTCCTTCTACCTGCTTTGGAAACAAAGGAACAAATAAAGCAAAAGCATTGTACTATTGCATGTAAAAGCTGCATACATTTTCTTAGGAGTCCATATGCTTCACTTGAAGAGCTGAAGTTTTACCAGATGTAGGTACCTCAAGTTATCTGGATTTGTACGTAAGTTATCCTGTGCAAACACCTTCATGCTAAGGCTCTCTGCAGTCCATCACATGTGTCACCCATCACTGGTGCTCAGGAAGCCATTTAAGTACAAGAATAAGCATACGTAAGATTTTATCTTCAGGAAATTAAAATCTTTGCTCATTTTTCAGGGTATCGCTTTTGATGCACAGCGCAGCAAGTAGATATTCGATCGCTAGATGGCGGTGTGAATTTCACTCTACGTTCATGGATGGTTACTTGCAGGCAGAAGGATTTTAACTAGGGCAGCTCTTTCTCCATGCAACCCAACTAATTTTACACCCGCTAATTCAGCATGGAAGAGCAGCTGCTTGGTAAGTCAATACACCACAGCACAGAGAGCCCAAGCACAAGTACTATGGTAAAGTCTAGGTGGTTATCTTCAGTAAAAACCAGTGGTGTTAATTGGAGACCAATTTTTAGTGAATTGCAATCAAGTAGAGGATCAGCTTGCTGCCTCTGACAGTGGACAGCTGACACCAGATTTGAACACCGTTGACCCTGGTGTCCTAAAATAACCAGGTGACCAAACTGTTCTCTTCAATAGCATGGCTTTTGTGGTCAGTTTACACTTTTCAGAGCTATGCCTCCAGCCAGAACCCCATATTCATGCACCATCAAAAGCTGGTAAGTTTTGGGACACTAGAACCAGTCCTGTTATGTTAAAATTATTTAGTCCCTCCCTAAGAGAGAGTTGCATATTGCCAGCTGTTTTTGTGAATAGTAACTGAAGGTCAAGAGGATCTGCTTCTGTTTCTTGCAAGTCCGAGCCTTGGGGCTGTTGAAGAAAGTAAGTGTGATGTTACAGGTCTCTGCAGTGTCAGGAAGCAAGAACAAGGACTTTGGTGAAGAAAAGCATAGGCACCCCTCTTTCTTCTGCTCTGGTTTGTCAAAACTGAATTATGTAAGTTGTTACTGCAGTGAGGGGTTCTGCACAAAATAAGAGATTAAGCAAAAGGAGAGAAGTTGAGACGGGGTTTTAGGGGATAGTTTTCACTAGGAGGGTGCTGAGTTGCCAGAACAGGCCACCCAGAGATGTTGTGGATGCCCCATCCCGGGAGATGTTCTAGGACAGATTGTATAGGGCCTGGGCAACCTGATCTAGGACTTGATCTAGTGACTGGCAGCCCTGCCTGCAGGTGAGGGGCTGGAATCTGATGGTCCTTGAGGTATCTTCAAACCCAAGCCATCCCTTGATTCTATGAAATGATACCATATCAGTTTGCAATGGCTAAGTGGCCTTGCTCTGTCCAGAATTCTTTCGGTTTTGGGTTTCTCTGTGTTGCTTTTTGTCAAGTACTTTGTTGTGACCTTGGTGCATTTCTGTCTGTCATGCAAGTAATCTCTCCAGCAGACTCAAGAACAGCTCAACAAATGCTTAGGCTGCTATCAAGGATCTTTGGAAGGTAAAGAAGAAAAGAAAAAGAAGGATGTGTTTGTACTGACAATGTTCATCCTCTTTCCTCCAGCTTCTGCCAAAGCCTGACACAAAACAGAAAGATGGTAGACAGATAACCTTCTCTTTTTAGAGCCAAAATGCTTACATACATCTGTCCCTGCTCTACGGACAGCTATCC